GAAAGTCCTGGGACACAATGTTGCAACTTCTCTCGAACATTTGCCTGCATTTTGCTATAGGGGTAGGACCAAAGAATGACCCCTAACTTTTTACCCACGCTATAATTTGGGATTACATAGTACCTAGAAATGTTCAGTGGGCTCTCCTGGATCAAACTGTGTAGGCAGACCTTTTATGTAGTAGGTGTTGAACAAACTCTTTTTCTGAGCCTCCTACTGGACTTAACCTCTAGACTAAATAGCTGGATACATAAATGAAATAATTTACCAACAAAAGAATAATACTTAGAAAGAATATTGAGAGAACATCATACATTATATCTGATGCATATATGATTGAATACTGAATATGTTCGTTATGGTGTTGGTTATGTCAAGCAACGAAATGAGTCCAATTACATAAACTTGAGGTACATTGAGTATATATGTAGTGGTAGTGGTGATAATCACTGGAAGCGGTTACTTTTAGAAATGAACTAGTGTAATGAGTTGAGAATGTTACTATTAGTTGAGCTATTCAATGCGTCGTTACCGTATATAGTAGTTTTAACATCGTATCATTGAATATAAAAATATATAGTCGTTCTTAAATTTTGATAGTTCCGACATATGAAAAGGTATTGAATAACGTCTTGGCTATAATGACCACATGAAGACTTGGATGTTTCCTATGTATGTCGAGCATATCTGTCTGCGTTTAGATCACTAGAGCAGAGTTTGAAGCCACAATGGATGTTTTGGCAAAATCTAATCACAAAATTTAAATCAAAGTAATTGTGAGATTCTGTTGGGTTTATCACGGTTTTAAATTGATTCAGGGAAATAGCGTTAACAGCCTCATCAGGCAATAATTTCCATGGCATAATCGCGCTCGGTAAAAATGATTGAGAATGTCTTGGGTTCTACAGTTAATAGTTTGAATGGAGGTATTGTTTCTAAGATTATAGAGTCAGACGATGATACATTTTCTATAAAGTTATTCGTTTAGAGCGATATCGTCTTTCTTTCAGTGTGCTGTAATTGGTTTCCCTGTATGTTTTATCGTGACTGGTGCCACGAACCACACCGCATATACTAGTAGTTCTTAATGCGTCAAGATGTAAATTTTCCAGTAGAATCGCCTGTTCGATGGTACAGTTATCCCATATATGACAGCAGTAATCAAAAAGTGGTAAGATAAAGGACTTATATAAAGTATTTAGCGAACGTTATATGCTCAGTCTTACCAGGATCAAAACTAACGTGCCACATTCTAGCCCAGTCTGAAATTTTTGCCAAATCATTGTTTATAATTTCGGCTGCTGTAATATGATCATCTATTGTAACATATATTGATGTATCATCAGCAACAAGGCGAATGTTGCTATTTATACCATCTACAATGTTATAAAACGGAAAACGGAACCCTGAGGCACACCAGTTTCCACAGATTCGATACCTGAACTATAGCTATTTATTAATATTTTTTGCATTCTACTATCTAAATAACTTTCAAACCACTCCAAAAGTTTTCCCGTATACCATAAGCATGAAGTTTATGAACAATGCCTTTGTGCCAAATTTTGTCAAAGGCTTTGTTTACATCACAGAATACGACTCTTATTTTCTTTCCTTGGACTACTGCACTTGCGATGAAATTATAATGATAGGTTATACTGTAGAATCACCAGGCATAAATCCTGATTGTAACTTTGATAAAATATTGTTATCTCTAAAGAAGTTGAAGACGTATTTAAAAACACATTTTTCAAAAACTTTAGCGACACAGCTACAGGCCTATAGTTAGAACAATCGTATTCAACACCTTTCTTATGAAACGGAATCATGGAAGTTAGTTTCCAAGACGACGGGAATGTTTTATTACGAAGGGAAATGTCAAACAACAGGGTTAGGGACACTGAAATTAGTGTCAGGACGACGTTTCCAATGTCATCAGGCCCCCGATGTATCTAGACTCAGAAGAATATCGCGAACATCTTCATTACCTATTGTGACGCGGTTCGAGGAATATATCTTTCTTTATTTCCGATTCCAAGTGTCTACAGATCCGAAACCAAAACCAGAAAAGTTTTGATATCATCATTCAGTGGCCTTCAGAATGAAAGCACAAGACATGTGACTGTGTTGTTATTGTTTATTACATTCTGTAAATAATGACCTTTTAAATAGCGCCTAACGATATCAAAGACACAGCCAAATCGCAGATTCATTATTTTGCTGGTGTTGTTGTCAATGTGTTTGATTTAGATGTTTTTGCAGGTGGTATTATGTTTGATGTAGTTGTTTTTGTAGCTGGCTTCGAGTTTGATGAAGTTGTTTTTGTGGTTATTACGATTGTTGACCGTATCTTCAGTCTGCCGAGTGTAATTTATTTGAAAGACAGTCTATGATTTTAGACAAATGCCTGCAGTTATAGCTCTCTACTCGATCAATAATACCTTCGATTGTCTAGCGTAGACAGCTAACATTTGCTATGTCTGTAAACAACACGATGACATTTGCTCTCCATCACTGTGACATTATAAGCACATAATACGTGTATGGATACATCCTAACTGGACATACAGAAACTACATATAAATATGGTACGTTAACTGTGTCAACAGCGGGAAGCTGACTAAGTTTATATATACACCACGAGATCATTACGAGTTCAACATGATTTTCTACAGAATTTTAAGTATGGTAGCTCAAATTGAAAACTGATTGTGATATGACCAGTGACGTCACTCAACATGACGTTGATATTCGAAAATACCGACCAGCTGATTTGGTGGGTTCTTTCAAGACGGCGACTGACCAATGAGATACGACGACTGATCATTGAAAGTTTGATGATGAATATCCGCAATGCCTTGGTTATAACTGTTTAATAATTTTGTTTGATAACGGGGATTTAACTGGAAGTATTTAACCGAAAATGAAGCATTACCAATACACCAGACTTTAATCAATGTGTTAAGCAGTGGCGCGGCTTCTCTCTGTCACAGCATAACGAACAAGTAGTAAGTTCGGTGAGTATACTGAAGCAAGCATTTGCGCATTCTGCACGTGAGCAACGCAGCACTGTCCAGCACGTTATTCTAGTGATGCGTTCGTACGAATTATTTCAATGTTCTAGGATGGTTCGAATCTTCTATCCACAATGTTTGACCATAAACGATTCCCGCCTTTGTAATAGGGCTCGTAAGTAGGCCACGGCACTTCGCGAGACCTTAGTACTTCCATACCATTTCGAATGGTCTCATGGCCAACTATTACGACTGTCAACAGCTGAGACAGCCAAGCATGGTTATACACTTGGTCCAGTCTAGAAAAGTCATATTTGGCTGTCGCGCAGTTAGGAACCAGGACTGTTTCTTGAATATACGCTTGCACCGGAAATCGGGTACTGGATATCAGCTGGGTTCCGTCTCGCATATCGCAAGTTGGCGCGCGCAAAGGGAGGCGGGAACCAGCTTAGTACCGGAAGTAGCGCCTCGCGAGACGTACGGGCACACACTCCGGCGCAGTGATGACTTAGCATAACATCACTGCCACAGGCTAATTTGCATATCACGTGACCGGACTTTTCTCTTGTTTGTAAACAAACGCGCATATTCATAATAAGAAAAGACTGGCCTGACGCAAGCTTTTCGTCGCGGTCTTTACAATGTTTTACATTGTTAGATATATATTCTTCCACAACTGCGACAGTAACATTTATGACAGTAGTATTTAGATTTCAAACTGGTTGCATCGTTTGCTCCCTGTCGGCTTCGATGACAGCACGTGGAGCCGTACAACTTACATAAACAAAGGATCGCTACGCAAATCGAAAAAGTGTTACATGTTTTAGGATATTTTCTCAGTGAAACTAAGCCATTCTATCAAAGATGTTTAATTAGATGTTTAGGCTCGTCAAAAATATAAGAGTTAAGAGATATGTACATTATATTGAATGGACGGTGCAAGATGTGACGAATCGTCACATTTTTCTTGCCTGTGGCAGAGGTACTATACTGGCTGGCCGCATGGAACTCTGGGTAAGAGATTGGTCTGGACACTGTGATAAAATGTGCGTGTTCACGTGTCTGAAAACACTGTGACATGTCGGTCAGACACATCCTCACTGTCGGTTTGCCAGGTAGTGGATCAATTTCCGGGCACATATCATGACCCTGTATTGACACTGTCAAGAACTGTCTATATTGTCTGATATTTGTATATCCTTATGCCGATGTTGAACACACTAAAGATATAAGAAGTACACACACGTCGTTATATATTTCAGAAAATACACTCTCCTCGTTTACATTAGTTAATGCTCTTGTCATCAATATCTTCACTTTAAAAGGTTTCACAGTAACCACACATACTGTAACCTAAGATATATTGAATATCTTCATTAGCGCCGGTGCCGTGCAAATGTACACATCGGCAGTAATATGCACGTGGACATCGCGGTAAGGACAAACCTTCGACGTTCACAAATCCATGTAAACTGAAGAGACTGGAGCACCTGGACACACGGCGTGTACAGATATGCTTTTTTATATGCAAACCCACGAAGATCCGGGTTAAATTTGATCTTCAGTAGCCCATGCTTGTCGTCAGAGGAGATTAACGGAATCGAGTGGTCAGGCTCGCTGACTTGGTTGACACATGTCGTCATATCCCAATTGCGTAGATCGATGCTCATGATGTTGATCAGTTCACTGGATGGTCTGATCCAGACTCCATTATTTACAGGCCGCCGCCATATAGCTGGAATATTGCTGAGTGCGGCGTAAAACTAAACTCACTCACTGTTACAAGCGAGACGCTGGTCACATACTCAACAGCTGCGTCTGGTACTCGGTATGCCAAAAGTTTGTTAGCGTTCCTACACCTTAAAGTGTTCATACCTGCTTGGAACACCACTGGGTAGATCGGTTAAACTTATTTCGGGATTTCTTTTTCATCTGTGACACTGTAATGCTGATGTGGCTTAAAGTATTTCCTCCTTCACTCTGTTACAGACGGTGTCTCCCTCCGCCCCCAGCGTGGAGTGGGCAATACGTGCAGTGATGGTGATGCGCTGCCCCACTTTGCTGCTGCTGCTGTTGTGTCTCCAGCCCGTGCCTACCGTCGCAGACTTCGAGAAGACCTGTAACCTGGAGGACCGGCTGGAAGGGCCGGCAGCAGGCGGGATCTGTGGGAGCAGGCTACCGGAAGTCATCAGGCTGACCTGTCTCGTCAGGCGGCATCGCAGGTCCACAAAGGCCATCAAGGGCAAGACTATAGGTAAGACGACTGAGTTTGCACAGTCTGTTGCGCAAAAGGCGCATTTTATAGCGTAGAAGGGTTCATTCTTTAGCGTAGAAGGGCGCGGTCTAGAGAAGAGAAGGGCGGAGTCTAGAGAGGAGAAGGGCGGAGTCTAGAGAGGAGAAGGGCGGAGTCTAGAGAGGAGAAGGGCGCAGTCTAGAGTGGAGAAGGGCACAGTATAGCGTAGAAGGGCGCAGTCTATAGTGGAGAAGGGGACAGTCTATAGTGGAGAAGGGGACGGTCTATAGTTGAGAAGGGGACAGTCTATAGTGGAAGAAGGGGACGGTCTATAGAGGAGAAGGGGACGGTCTATATTGGAGAAGGGCGCAGTAGATAGCGTAGAAGGGCGCAGTCTATAGTGGAGAAGGGCGCAGTCTAGAGAGGAGAAGGGCGCAGTCTAGAGTGGAGAAGGGCGCAGTATATAGCGTAGAAGGGCGCAGTCTAGAGAGGAGAAGGGCGCAGTATATAGCGTAGAAGGGCGCAGTTTTTAGTGGAGAAGGGGACGGTCTATAGTGGAGAAGGGGACGGTCTATAGTGGAGAAGGGGACAGTCTATAGTGGAGAAGGGGACGGTCTATAGTGGAGAAGGGGACAGTCTATAGTGGAGAAGGGGACGGTCTATAGTGGAGAAGGGGACAGTCTATAGTGGAGAAGGGGACGGTCTATAGTGGAGAAGGGGACGGTCTATAGTGGAGAAGGGCGCAGTAGATAGCGTAGAAGGGCGCAGTCTATAGTGGAGAAGGGGACAGTCTATAGTGGAGAAGGGCGCAGTCTATAGTGGAAAAGGGCGTAGATTTTAGTGGAGAAGGGGACAGTCTATAGTGGAGAAGGGGACGGTCTATAGTGGAGAAGGGGACGGTCTATAGTGGAGAAGGGGACAGTCTATAGTGGAGAAGGGCGCAGTCTATAGTGGAGAAGGGGACAGTCTATAGTGGAGAAGGGGACAGTCTTTAGTGGAGAAGGACAGTGGAGGGACGGTCTATAGTGGAGAAGGGGACAGTCTATAGTGGAGAAGGGACGGGGCGCGGTCTATAGTGGAGAAGGGACAGTCTATAGTGGAGAAGGGGGACGGTCTATAGCGGAGAAGGGCGCAGCATATAGCGTAGAAGGGCGCAGTCTATAGTGGAGAAGGGACAGTCTATATTGGAGAGAAGGACAGTCTATAGCGGAGAAGGGCGCAGCATATAGTGGAGAAGGGACAGTCTATAGTGGAGAAGGGGACAGTCTATAGTGGAGAAAGGGACGGTCTATAGTGGAGAAGGGACAGTCTATAGTGGAGAAGGGGACAGTCTATAGTGGAGAAGGGGACGGTCTATAGTGGAGAAGGGGACGGTCTATAGTGGAGAAGGGGACAGTCTATAGTGGAGAAGGGGACGGTCTATAGTGGAGAAGGGGACAGTCTATAGTGGAGAAGGGCGCAGTCTATAGCGGAGAAGGGCGCAGTCTATAGTGGAGAAGGGGACAGTCTATAGTGGAGAAGGGACGGTCTATAGTGGAGAAGGGCGCACCATATAGCGTAGAAGGGCGCAGTCTATAGTGGAGAAGGGGACAGTCTATATTGGAGAAGGGGACGGTCTATAGCGGAGAAGGGCGCAGCATATAGCGTAGAAGGGCGCAGTCTATAGTGGAGAAGGGGACAGTCTATATTGGAGAAGGGGACAGTCTATAGTGGAGAAGGGGACGGTCTATAGTGGAGAAGGGGACAGTCTATAGTGGAGAAGGGGACAGTCTATAGTGGAGAAGGGGACGGTCTATAGTGGAGAAGGGGACGGTCTATAGTGGAGAAGGGACGGTCTATAGTGGAGAAGGGGACAGTCTATAGTGGAGAAGGGGACGGTCTATAGTGGAGAAGGGGACAGTCTATAGTGGAGAAGGGGACAGTCTATAGTGGAGAAGGGGACGGTCTATAGTGGAGAAGGGGACGGTCTATAGTGGAGAAGGGGACGGTCTATAGTGGAGAAGGGGACAGTCTATAGTGGAGAAGGGGACGGTCTATAGTGGAGAAGGGGACGGTCTATAGTGGAGAAGGGGACAGTCTATAGTGGAGAAGGGACGGTCTATAGTGGAGAAGGGGACGGTCTATAGTGGAGAGGGACGGTCTATAGTGGAGAAGGGGACAGTCTATAGTGGAGAAGGGGACGGTCTATAGTGGAGAAGGGGACGGTCTATAGTGGAGAAGGGGACAGTCTATAGTGGAGAAGGGGACGGTCTATAGTGGAGAAGGGCGCAGCATATAGCGTAGAAGGGCGCAGTCTATAGTGGAGAAGGGGACAGTCTATGGTGGAGAAGGGGACGGTCTATAGTGGAGAAGGGGATAGCCTATAGTGGAGAAGGACTCAATCTGGAGCGGAGAAGGGCGCGGTCTATAGCAGAGAAGGGGACGGTCTATAGTGGAGAAGGACTCAATCTGGAGCGGAGAAGGGCGCGGTCTTTAGCAGAGAAGGGGACAGTCTAGAGTGGAGAAGGGGGCAGTCCAGAGCGAAAAGGTGGTTTGCTTCTATGTCGTGAAAGGGCTTTGCACGTTGATGATGGGCGCTCCCGCTATGGGGTGGCGGAAGGAAGGGTGTACGTGCTGGTTCTTAGGTTTTATGTTGATGTCCGATATATAATGTTTTCGTCAAAGTCGGACAGGAAAATACATATTTGCTTCTATTTTGGTATGCATGCTTCAAGTCATGATGTAAAAATCGTAAGCCGGTTTTCATTTTCTTAATTTCTAGTATCATTAGAGACTTTTTGGATACAATCAGGTATTAAGTATGAAAGGAGGAACGATACAATTTCTGTTGGACTCACGACACTTTACTCTTAGAATAACGAACACGTCTAGTGGACCATTTCAGTGTGACTAAAACCTAGTGACAAATTAGTGTTTTCCAGCATTTTCGAGAACAGATTAATATTTTTCAAACTCTGTTGAACCAATTATCATTTAAAATAATTCAATGATACGGCCTGAGGCCCGAGTGCTTTTTATACAATGACGGTACTGTGAACATGAACAGAAAGTGTTTACAGTTGTGAACATCAGACATTAAGGGCGTCTTGAATACAATTTGCTATCGGCCTTGTGGTGTACACACACACATTCACTTCGCCAGGTTCAACCCCTAATGACACACGTAAAGTCAAGTTCTCGCACGCCTCGTTACGGACATGCGTTAATAAGATAGTAGACGCGGAAACCATTTCTCAGGTATGGTAAACAGGTGATAATATTACCGGTAATGAAATATGAATGCCGTGTTATTATCACTGTAAGATGTATACAGCGACATACAATAACCCGAGTCGAAGCCAGCCAGAGGGTGCAACCCTAAGATTTAATTACTTGACTTGATTTACAGGCTGCATAATTATCGAGACAAAATTCTTTTAATAAGACAGTCGAAGACAGGCGCCCTCAGGCTGAGTGCATGCATAGTCAGGTGTAGTAATTTGTACAAATACGACCCCTGACTTATGAACGTATATTATCTTTAATTACCGTTTAGAAGCCGTTGTTCAATGAAGAAGGGATCGGCTTGATGTTTTCAACATGGTAATATATTTTTACCAGGCGTTTCCGCATCGTAGGTTGTTTACAGGATTGTATAGTGTGTACGAGGTGATGGAGTATATGCAGACACCTGAAGTATTGATGATACCGTAAATATGAAAGCACCCCAAACACCTTGCTTGTAGACCTGACAACCAAGGCCATTATAAACACTTTTTGATACTGTTCTGAACAACTTTTGCGAAGGCAATATCACTTCTGTCATACTATTTGCCATATTATTACACCGTATTTTCAACAATTGTTACAGGTTTGTGACAGTCAAGATTACAATGGTGAATTGTTTTAAATATAGGTACAGGTTTACAATAGTATTGCAGTAATTTCACACATAGCATTAAGTTACCACAGTGTAGATGTACCTGCATTACTCGACATGATGAAAAGCCTAACATGTACTAGATTCAACAAATATGTACTACGTCTCTGAGGTGTTCAAGGAGGGACCTGGGGCGGTGGGGTAGCCTAGTGGTTAAAGCGTTGGCTCGTCACGCCGAAGACCCGGGTTCGAATCCCCACATGGGTACAATGTGTGAAGCCCATTTCTGGTGTCACCCGCCGTGATGTTGCTGGGCTATTGCTAAAAGCGGCGTAAAACCCAACTCAGTCAGTCAGTCAGTCAAGGAGGGACCTCCACTACAAGCTGATATACTACTCTTTACTGAGATAAGGTTAAGCCTCTTCAGTATGCCATGGAGTATGTTGGATCAAATAAAATAGACAAGCAAATGACTAACATTATTATTGCATGTCATTACGTCTATCTAGCCAAGAGAGTAGCTCGGCATCTGTGTTTCGTTTGCCATGTTAACGAGTCTTATCGATGTACTGACATTGGCCATGGAGACCGGTAAACCGTCAATAATAACTCTCTTCACACTTGCTTGACAAAGGTGCTAGCATATACATGAACAGAAATTACGCTTTGTATTCAGATCAGTAAGTCAGTTATGTGTACACTGACGAATGTCATAATTCATGTAATACGCGTTCATACAAATGCAATACTGACTCTTAATCAATTCCCGAGCATGAAGATAGACTGAGTGAGTGAGTGAGTTAGTTTAGTTTTACGCAGCAATATTCCGGCAATATCACGGCGGGGAAACCAGAAATGGGCTTCACACATTGTACCCATGGGGAATCGAACCATGACCTTCGTAGCACTGCTAGAACTGGGTCCTGATAGCGTGAGAAGATGGTTTAATTGACATAATTAGGTGTAACTCGTGTTCACACATTGTGCTGGCATTACATATCCAGGAGCTGTTATGAAATGATCACAGCCTTGAGTTCATTGTAATGCCCATGCTTTAACACAGACTTAATTAAGACAGCCGTGGAGCTGAAATTGCTATGTATAACGGGAAGATGACATTACAGTATAACTGAAATCTCATTGTGACACATGTCATTTTCAGGTAAGCAGAGTGAGTTGAAGGACCTGACGTTACACAAGAGCACAGCATTGTCCTATTTGTTGAAGCGATCGAACGGCCTCGGAGAGCAGGGCATCACATGCGAGTGTTGCTACAACCGATGCAGCCTCACTGAGCTTATGCAGTACTGCTGACGTCACAACCAATCACAGATACTGTGAAAGTGTCACGTGATGACGACATCCATTACATCGCAGTCATGTGCCTTCAGCATCCAAGTTCAAGGTCCCGGTTCATAGGCAGACGGAGCTGCAGGCTCTCTGCTTGCAGTAATCTGATATTGACTTTTACCACTGCCATCCTGCGTCGTTGTCATCAACATGTCGTGCGTCCCAAAAGTCACATGTGTATTGCGCATGCGTGTTCACGTGACATTCCTGCGCCACCATAGTCCCTGAAGGTGCGTCATGCCAACAAGCCTTGTCCTGTCACATTTGTAATAAAGTTTGTTGGTATAAAATTACACATTCTGGATTTGTTAATTGGTTTGTCTGCGAGTGAATGACCCATGCGGACATGTCAGGAGGATGTTTCAATAACACTTCTCAGTCAAAAGGTACTGAAAACTGTTTTAATCTGGTCTACATAATTCCGGTTTATATTGTCGATTGGGTTGCAAATATCTCCTGACAGACAATGTAAACGTTACATAAGGAGCGATGTAGAGCTATAGTAAATGTACCGATATTATCTCTGCATAATTCCACAAGAGTTGCCTTGGAGTATTATTTACAATGCCGACAACACGTACGCTATCAACAATTATGGCACAAACTGCTACAGATATAGTATTTCTCCGATTTCAAACACTCGACTTTTGTCCGTTTTGAAGAAGACGTTCGGGTTCGAATCCAGGTCTGGCCCTATTTTGATTCCAGGTTTGTCAGCACCACAATCGTACGCTCGTGTTTCACCAAGGTGGGAAACGTCTGAGACCCACATCACTTGGGGCTTGGCTTCAGTATAAAGTTAGTATATGCAGAAAGTCGGATCTCAAATATAACACATTACAACTGGTATGCTGTTCAAAGCGGCGTATAGCCCGACTCACTTACTCATTTTAGTACTAAACGTTATCCGGGCTCTGCTTTCATAATACATCAGAGCTTAAAAGTTTCACAGGACAGCAGATCATATTAACGCCATCATTTGTCACTGGTATTGTCTCTTAGAACTAAAAGTAATACCTGGCTTATTTAATTAATTTCAGCATTCTCACGGGACTTTTTAGCTTTCAAGGTATTTCAATTGGATTTCTACACATCTCAGGCCACCAGCTCCTCATTAACCATCGACCACCGCTGTTGTCTAGTTGATACATGTAGAACGACTGTCCGGAGGTTTGCTTTGGTAGTTTTTGTTGTTTTATGCCGCACTCAGTAATATTCCAGCTATATGGCGGCGGTCTGTAAATACTCGAATCTGGACCAGACAATCCAGTGATCGACAGCATGATCATCGATGTACGCAATTGGGATACGATGACATTTGTCAACCAAGTGAGCGAGTCTGACCACCCGATCGCGTTAGTCGCCTCTGACGACAAGCATTCTAACCTGGATCTTCATGTGTCCTGTCCAGAGGAAGGACCCGTATTGGTTCGAACCCTTCCCGTGTCAAACCACACGTTACAAGATGGTACTTGCTGTTACCCTGCCCTATGAAACCCTGATGACCTTTCCATAATTTTCCCCATTTGAAAATGAATAACCATGATAATAACTAACACTGCCAAAACAATTCTTGATATAGCAAACGTTTGTACCTCAGGTTTCTACTGATTGCCAATGCTTACTCTACATCCCAAACCGGCTCTACACACACAACGACTTTATTTACAGAGATCATTATAACAGAACAAACTGATTTATGAAGCATGACCTTTACTTGTCGACAAAGGCCGAAGCTCAAGACAGCAGAGATCTTGAATCCAAAAGATACTTCAGTTCATTTTCACACGTTTTCACAAGAGTTTTCAATGGTCTTTTATTAATCTTTCAGGACAAAAGGGGGAGGGCACCCCCCTGCATCCCACCCCAGTTGATTGCATACAACGTGTCCTTACAGAAGACATAACCCTCCCTCCATTCTACCTGTGATCGTAGGTTCGAATCCTTGTTCATCACGATTATATTTGTAGGTTTTCCTGCACCACACCCATGGGCGCCATCACAGTAGTAAACATGTAACAACCAGGCGTGATTGGCAAGCTGTCTAAGGCGCCAGGCTAGTGATCCAGCGAGCTTGAGGTGCCGGGATCGAGTCCACCTAAGACTGGGTGTAAAAACCTTTGTGTGCGGACACTTTCAGCGTTGTCACAACCCCTAGTGTACAGTACACAACCCTGTGCACTTTCAAGAACCCACGAATCCGTTGGTAAATGACCAGATGATGGCCACATGAATACGTGCAAACACCTAGTTGCGGATACAGCAACGTGCAGTAAATTTGGATAAAGTAATGTGACTATGTGTCCCAGTCCACCCAGCTGTGAATGGGTACCCCGTAAAGATGGGAAAGTCACATTAACTCGGTGCCACTAGTGGCTGCAAGAGTTGTTTGTTCCCCAGGGAGTTAATACTACTAATATTGTCTGTTTTTATTGAGCTGGGTTCCATCCACAAAGGTGCATGCTCAAGGCGCTACAATAGTCACAGATAAGAAGTTCACGGGAGGAGATAGTTCGTAGGGATAGAACTTTCAAAAGAGAAAGGTTTTTAGGTTGGTTTTGAATGTCTCAAGGGTGGGGGATTCTTTAATGTTCTGAGGTAGTGGGTTCCATAACTGAGGTGCTGCTACTTGAAACGATCTGTTGCCTTAGGATTTTAGTCTTGAGTTTGGTACTGCAAGTAGGCATTGGTTTTCAGACCTTAGACGTCGTGAAGGCTGGTATGGTGAGATCAGTTCCGATAGATAGCTCGGTGCTATACCATTCAAACAGTGGTAGGCAAAACACAAGATCTTGAAGCTGATCCGGGCTTCTATTGGTAGCCAATGTAGGGACATCAATACCGGTGTTATGTGGCATCTTTTTGGTGCACGACTCACAATACGAGCTGCCCTATTTTGTACCTTGAGTTGAGATTAATAATACGTTGAGATTGACATCCAATGATCGAGGGAAAAACAAAGCGCCTGTGAGCAGCCTAGCTGGAACTCGGCGCCATGCAATAACCACCCCGCTTCGCTCCCCCCGGTGTCCTCCCATTTGTGAGACACATTAATTAATGGTTCAGTGCACACAGGTGGTGCTTCCCCATCCCTACGATGAAAGTGGGAACAGCCCTGTTGCTGAAGAGTACCCGCAGGAGTTAATTAACACAGAAGACATTGTTCATTGAAGAGCATTTATTGTTTTCAATATAGAACAAGTTAAATACTGAAATACTGAAAAAGATTATCATTATATTTACTCAGGAGAAATAGTTCATTAAATATTGCATTATGATTTTTTATTCCCAATTTTGATGATTTGCGTTATTTTGATGTTTGTGTGTCATCACGTAAATCTGAGTAGGTAAATTAATTTCTCTTTCAAATGATCACAAAGTTACCTACACAAAGTGTTTATTTTTTAAAGCCATTTACCTGAGTAGGTTAATTACTTTATCTTTTAAGCTACCTCCACAAGATTCAGTTAAATAGCTAATCCCTAATTAGCTGGGGTTAATCCATTCTATTAGATAGGGGAGTAAGGTGTATTTTCTTTGCTACTTACTTTCTCCACTGTCTCACAACTGGGAGTCTCACAACTGGGAGTTCTCACAAATGGGAGTAGACCCATATTGACATAAGCGTTGTCATCGACACGTATTTTAAATGCAGAGTAATGAAGGTTTAATTGCAAGTACAAATTCACAACATGTATTTTGAAAACCAACTACACACATGGCGTTGCTGTATCATAATCACCATCATCATCATCATCATCAACGTTTTTTAATATCCCAAGTCAGAGCTTTGCAACACACGATATGTCTTATTTTTGAAAAGTATTGTGTAGAATATATGTTATGTAGAATGTAGTGTAACAAATCGTTAAAGACTCTTTAGCAAATATGTTGGGGCCTAGTTCAGATAAATGTCCCTTAATCATAGATCGTGATACGGGATTTGGATTTGGTTATATGTGCACGTGACTCACGGCGATATATTTTTTGAAACATTTGAATCACATTACGGTCGTTTGTAACGTTAGAACGTCCAGGCAAAGGGATGTGCTTCTGTGGTGTGATGTTATTGGTCTTTCACGGCTCTTTTTCTCCAGGTACGGAGACAGCTTGCATGTATCGATGGAGTCGCCCCGCGATACTCGACAGTCCGCACGATGCGCATACAATGATGTCCAGATCCAGTGTCTCAGATTAACGCAGACAACCAAGTGTTCAATAGTTCGTCGTTGAAAAATATTACATCAATCCTTCCCAAATACAAATCCACCTTTCTGTCTTAGTAATACGTAATTCAACAAGTACAATTTATCAGGGAAATCGATCCGTAATATAATACAAGTACGTTGTTGTGGCCGAAGGTCAGCTGACATGGTGATGACGTTGCGTTCAAGACTGTTGGACTGACGTGGCTGCTTGACTTGGCATGTGTGGATGAGAAACGACAATGTGTAACTGCTCAAAAACGTCAAGTTTCACATTGTGTTGTATCGAATTCAATCCATGCTTATACTTTTCAACATTTGCTTACATGTTACTCCCTAGGGAACCAAGACTGATTATTGTCTGCACTATTACCCACCAAATGAGCGTGTGTTGTCCTCAACAACTGAAGTTAATTACGCTTTTCACAGAATAATATACCAGTAGGTCTATCAGAAACTCGTTGCCTGTATAATACCTATGGTTGAGTTAAATCGTAACGTCACATGGGCAATGTTTCCGACACCTGGCATAAGGTTCATCTCCTATAGGTTGGTTAGCTGTTAGCTGTTAGTGTAGGTGATATCACGCGCGCAGTGAACATTAAAGTTAGCGTTCCAGGGACTCTCAATACACAAGAAAAACAAAGAAATGTGAGTCGTCGTCTGATACCGTAGTCATGGTAGAAATTTAATAAATAAATAAATACGTTTAACATTAGCAAGCCATGGTGAAGCATACATATTATTTTCTAGCATTTGTGATAAAACATTGTGAATTATAACTGACATTTTATTTTTATGTACATTAGGAGCAAGTTTAAACAAAACTGAAATTATTCACTTTTTCATATATACAGAGATAGGAATTCGTCCAGTCTCTCCATAGAGCATTTAGGAAGGTGTGCTCTTGCGTAGTTTCAGGACAGATTTTATGAATAACCTGTGAACATTTTCTAAAATGTCTATATTTGAATGTCCCCACACCTTGCAACCATATAACATGATTGGTAGGATCATGCAGTCAAAACATTTTAACAAACAATCGATAGGAATGTGGAGATTTCTAACCTTTGAGGGGAAAACACTAC